AGAGGGTTACAGGAAAAGCAAAGAGGCAACGCTCGGGATGAAGACTCCCGACAGCAGGAGGTCCCTGCTTGTCTTTTGCTGGGTTTTTTTAAGTAGCAATCCTGGTGGTGGGCGTTTGTCCATAGATGGCAGGAAAGAAACTCCTGCANACAGAACCAGATTTCAAACTGAAGCACTGAAGCCGAGAGCGGAGAGCGATGGCACAGACCACCCTGCTACCCTGTAGCACGCACAGCCTCTGTCTGCACGCTGAAACCGCTGTCTAACAACCCCGAGGCACTCTCAGTATGGAGGGCGGCGGCGCCCGGGAATCTGCCATAGATGGCAGGAAGGAAACTCCTGCCATCTATGGCAGATTCCCGGGCGCCGCCGCCAGACAGCTCTTGCAGAGGCTCCGCTGAATGCGGCCAACTACCTCTGTGGGGTTGTACTTGCGGAACAATGGGGATTGGACAAAATCGGGACGTCCCTGGGGTACAATGTGCAAAATCGGGACGCCTTCTGAACGTGCCGCGGCGCGACGACGCACACACCCAATACCGCACGATATCGCGCCACAGCGCCTCCACCCGCCGCGCACAAGGCGCGCCGACCCTCTCCAACCCTTTTTTTCCCGCTAACAACCTAAAACAGTGTAGACGCAGCCGCGTACAAAAACCTCTCCGCAGACCACCCGATTTTGTCCTAAAACCTGCAGGGTCGACCCTTACCCCGAGAAAAACATAACCTCCGACCCTATTTTGTCCATCTGACCACCCCTTTTTGTTCACCACAGCCGGTTCGTGGGGAGATTGAACGCGGCCATCTCCCCGCAGCACCACCAGCCCGATACCCGCAAAAGAGCCAGCAGCAAAAACACTTCGCAGCAGGCAAAAAAACACCGACCGACAACAACTTGCCGCCCGCCGGCAAGCCACCACAACTGAAATCGACCGCCGAAGATAGATCCGACGCTGGGATCAACAGTCGCTCTGCAGCGAACGGACATTCGCGGAAAACTTCCTCCGCTCTGCCCTCTCGCTCTCGCCACTTCCCTCTCGAGTGACTGCAAAACCCTCTCGCCCGGTGCGCAACTCTTCGACAAAGTTCAACACACACGCTCAAGGGCTACCCAGCACGCGCAGAGAGCGAACTTTTATTGGACGATTTGGCGAGGTTGGGTTTTTAAGATTGGCAGCAACTGCAAATCAAGCAACGACCAGCACACCGAACCACCCCTGAAATTCCGTTTTACCGGTCCGGTAATCCCCGCATTCTTCAGAATGTGTTCCGCGCACTTCAGGTGTTCTGCGAGTTGCAGCACCCTGGGAACGGCAGACTCCGAGCCCTTGTGCTTGTCGGTGATGATGGTCGTGGTGGGCTTGTTGAGAAACGCTGCCATCTCCGGGTTCTTGAGGGCGTTGGACATGAGGTAGGTGTAGGCGTCGGCGGTCTCCTTCGGGTGGAGGCACGTCGCCACTTGAAGGACGTTGTTGTTGGCGCTCTTGACGCTGATGGCCCCGATCGGCCCGTCCCAGTCGCCCTTGCAGTGACAAAAGTCCATGCAGGCAACCTGAGTTGATGGCAGTGGCAAGACGAACGTCGCACGGGTTATGTGGAAACACACATCGTCTCGTTGATGGTTTGGTCACGACAACCCACCGAAACGGCCGTGATACACTTTCTTTCCTGGAAGCCAAGACATATGGTGCACGGGAACTCAGGCGATGTCACGGCGTGGGCAAAGCGTTTTGCTGCCAATGCACACGAAGACGGTACGACTGCAACGTCCCGTGTCGTAGCTGTACTTGCAGTGCTGTCATCTCGCGCATGGACCTCTGTGGTGCTCAGCTTTGACGGTGTCGGTCCTTGATTGCGCACAGATAGACTAGGTTTAACTCGACGAGAAGCGAACGACACCAACACCGGCACACGCTAAGACCTCGCACCCCTTCCACCACACGGCTACCGTGGTCGACGGGGGTTGGCGAGAGGGCGCCAAGACAACTTCTCTCGAGTTTTTCTCTTCGGATGTGGCGTTACTCGAAACAGCAGTGAGACACTAGCGAGCGCAGGTGACCCACGGAGGAATAGTATGGCCGGGGTTGGTCATTGCCTCCATTGGGGGTCTGCTGCTGCATCGGCACCATCTCCAACACGTCTATACACATTGCCTCGGGTGCTTGGAGGGGGTGGATCTTCGGTGGAGAAGGCTAAGGTTCGCGTACATGGGGTTTCCAATCAACCCAAGAACATGTCGACACGTCTCAACGCGAACTTCGTCGACCAGTCGCGGTCGAAGAAGCGAAAGATAATGAAGTATTTATATATTTATGGCGACGAAAAAATGGTGCGCGCTCGAATTTGGTAGGGAGGAGGATGGCCACCACATCCACATCTTCGACACACTAGGACGGCGTGTGGGCCGTGAGCGAAAGAACGTGTGTGTGTACGCCCTCTAAAAACACCGGAGAGAGCTACGTCTCCAACAAAATGTAAAAAAAAAGCGCTGTGGCGTTCGGTGGTGGTGGCATGCAGGGCGTCAAACAGGGTGTGTTTCCCACAGAAACGAGAGGCAGAAACGTCAGAGCACCGGGGGTTCAACTGCAACCTACTCAACTCTTCTATTCAAAACCACAACAGAGAAACACAGGAGGTAGGAAAGTTGTGACGCCCCGCAAACTTCCCGCAAAACGTAAGGTAGGGTAGGTACGTCAACTGCCACACCTGCTGAACCCCTTGAACCGCGAAATGAGCGACTGACCCAAGCATCAGGAACGCCTTTTCGAAGTGACCTTGTGCATCCCACTGCAAAACGAAACGAAGCGCGAGGGGTGGAAAGCAAAAAACATGCTTTAGAGCCACCTGGTCACGCGTCATGAACCACGTCGAGGAACGTGTGTTCGTAAAAGTGTTTGATGAACCTCAATTAAACCAAAATAGAAGCCTCATACAATGCCGATTTCACACACTTGACCGAACGTGTGGAAGGGATTTGCATATGTTCACTACACGCCGCGCACCGACAAAAAGAGGGCAGCATAAAGTTGTACCGGCGGGCTAAAGCACCATTCAACGAAAGCGCACACCCTTGCCAACACCTCGAGCGTCGACAGAACGAAAGGGAAGCAACGCAGATGAACATACGGCGAACAAGTCTTTGGTACACCACGCTCGGCGGTGGCTTCAAACACAGCCAACGTGAGCGCGCTTGCGACGGTGGCTACGATGGGTACGAAAGGGCCGCTAGAAGAAGTGAAGAACGAACGTGGAATCCGATCCCAATCCTATTCGAACCTTGTCGCGACCGAAACATCCGGGTCAAAACTTTCCGCAACTCTACGTAACCGGGTCATCAAACCAACAGGCAGTGTCATTCATGCGAGCACCAGCGAGACAAACAAACCGGAAAGTGTTTACGGTCGTAGACAACGTGGTGCACGGCTGCACGCACGCGGCGACGGAGCGTTTGCATCAACAAACAATACCGCTCCTGATTCTGTATCGAAAGACCGACGAATTGAAAAAAATGAATTTAACCATTTGAACTGGTACAACTTGCGCCGACAAGAGCGCCACCCACCGTTGCGCCACCCGCCGCCACAAAACAAAAAGAGCACGGTGCACAAGGGTCTACACCGAAGCAGCACCATCTACACACCAACACCCACCTTGCAGTCCGTGATCGTCCCTGGGCTGTCGGTCGCAATCAGGTCCAAGAAGCTGGCGAGCCGCTGGATTCCCTCCTTCTTCGTGTCCTCCTGACCGTTGGTCACGCCGCGCTTGACACGGCCCGCTGCCCACGTCGCCATGTCCACCCCGTGGGCGCCCTTCAGCGTCTTCGCGAGCGCAGGAGCAGAGACCTTGGGGTTGCCGCGAACGACCACCGCGCCTTCCGCAGCCATGGCCACGCTCGTTTCTTCGTGCCTCCCGCGCAGTTTTGGTGATCGTAGCAAACGCTGGTGACGTAGAAGTGCTTGTCCGCGCGCTTGTTGGCTTTGACATGAGCCTGGCATCCTCCTGTGGTCTTCGAGCCCTTCTCGATGATAGCCCCGGAGCAGCGGTACAGCTTCGCGTGGCCGCCGCCGCCACGAGCGTCGGCAATCATCGTGCGATTGTCTCGCAACATCGCGCGTTCTGACGCCACCCGGAGTTCGACGCTGCTCGAAAAACAGTCCCCAATCTTAGGACGGGGCGCGTGCAGAGGCTGCGGTGTGCTGCTCGGCGGTGGCACCAGCGCCGCCGCCGCCGACGACATGTTTACTTGCACCAATAATGCCGTCGCCCTCGCTTGTGACGAAGGCGGGAGAGGGAGAGCNCTCGATGATAGCCCCGGAGCAGCGGTACAGCTTCGCGTGGCCGCCGCCGCGACGAGCGTCGTCAATCATCGTGCGATTGTCTCGCAACATCGCGCGTTCTGACGCCACCCGGAGTTCGACGCTGCTCGAAAACCAGTCCCCAATCTTAGGACGGGGCGCGTGCAGAGGCTGCGGTGTGCTGCTCGGCGGTGGCACCAGCGCCGCCGCCGCCGACGACATGTTTACTTGCACCAATAATGCCGTCGCCCTCGCTTGTGACGAAGGCGGGAGAGGGAGAGCGAGAAGTGGCGAGAGGCGAGAGGGCAGAGCGGAGGAAGTTTTCCGCGAATGTCCGTTCGCTGCAGAGCGACTGTTGATCCCAGCGTCGGATCTATCTTCGGCGGTCGATTTCAGTTGTGGTGGCTTGCCGGCGGGCGGCAAGTTGTTGTCGGTCGGTGTTTTTTTACCTGCTGTGGAGTGTTTTTGCTGCTGGCTCTTTTGCGGGTATCGGCTGGTGGTGCTGCGGGGAGATGGCCGCGTTCTATCTCCCCACGAACCGGCTGTGGTGAACAAAAAGGGGTGGTCAGATGGACAAAATAGGGTCGGAGATAATGTTTTTCTCAGGGTAGGGGTCGACTCTGCAGGTTTTAGGACAAAATTNCTGTAGTAGCCGATGTAGTGTCGGAGCAAAGGCCTCCTTGTGGATGTTATGGTCTTATTCTTTTAGTTCAAGCTCAGGATGGTAGCTTGGTTGTGAGCAGAGGAGGGCGAGTCCAGACAGCTCTTGCAGAGGCTCCGCTGAATGCGGCCAACTACCTCTGTGGGGTTGTACTTGCGGGACAATGAATGCCCCGAACCGTAACATCCCCCCTAGTATATTATCAACTCATAATATACTAACGCCTCATCCGGTACTTATAACCAGAGAAATGGTAGAACTGCGAGGTTCTCCATCAACCGATATGCCTCGAAAGGGAACTATCCACCCGATACTTCACGCCGCCATCTCGTCTCTCTCTTTTCTCTGAGGGACAAACTTTCGACAAAACCCTCTCGTGAAGTCGTTGGCATGGAGCGCGATCTCCATGCCAGTGGAGTAGACCGACATACCGCCACTGGCTATACGTCTTATCACAATCATGACAGCGATTGCGACCAAGTCCTACAGGACCTACCAAGTCTACGCATGCACGCTTACACACAATGGACGAACCAATCAAACATCGACTCGGTACCGCCTACCGAGTAGGAGCAAAGACATAGGCTCAAAAAAGTGAACCCCATCATCACGACTGAACCTCAAGAAACCTCATCCTCCGATAGCACCGAATTCACCAGAGACACCCAGACTTCACCATCCAAATAACAACACCAGAAAACTGCTTCCCCCCACCATGACATCAACGATGCGAATAAGCATGTGAACGACGGGAAAACTGCTTCCCCCCACCATGACATCAACGCAACAAATAAGTCCTGGGGTGCGACTAAGACGGCCCACGCAACAAATGAGTCCTGGGGTGCGACGAAGACGGTCTCCAGCGAAGACAACGTTCTAGCTCCTGCCGCGCCATGTCCTCCAGTTCTGGTTGCTGCCGCGCACCTGTCAGTAACGGTCTCGACAACTCTTGTCCCTGAAGCTTCAGCCTTCTGCTTTAGTCTTCGGAAGGTGAAACCTAAAGGGAGATACTCCGAGTTTCACGGGCGGACGACGGCACACGCGGTGGTGCGGTGAGTGTGCTGGGAAGCTAATACGTGGTGTGGCGAGTACGCTGGGAAGCTAGTTCCGGGTAGGGAAGATGTCACGCGCAATGTAGGCATCCAATCGCCATTCTACACTAGTTTGGGGGATAGCTTTACACTCCCACATCAAAGAGTCAAAAGATGAATGCACTCGGCGACAATCTGGTGGAGAGGCGAAGATTGCCTGTTCGGTCCATTCTATTGATATGGTTGATGCGAAACCACGCAACAAACGTTTAACGTCGTGACGGTTCTACGGCTTTCGGCACGAGGAATAAGAGGTCTCGATGGAGCAAGAAGCAAATACTTGATATCTACAGCAAACTGGTTACTTATTAACACGCGACATTTTCTTGGGTACTTCGCTTCGTGTGGCGGTGGCTGTTGTTGCTGATCTTCACGCACCAAGGCTAAGCTGCTGTTCCTTCGAGGCGTGAGTCCGACCTCGACGTAGACGACGCTCGTGGGCTGGGGCAAGCGACTCCGCTCGTGCGCATGGGGGCGCCTGCGGCACCCAGAAATGGGATGCAGGGGGACGAAGGCGGAGGTCCCCCGTCGCCCTCTTCGGGAGGGGGTGACTTGGGCTGTGGCGATGACCCCGCCGACAACAGCAGCAACAGCAACGACAGTAGTGGCCCCAGCGACGTCTCCAACAACCACGACGGAGGCGGCAGCGAGCCACTCAGCGGCGACTCTGGTGATGAGAGCAGCGGCGGGAGCGAGCCCGTCAGCAGCACATCTAGCCACGACGGCAGCAACGACGACGGTGACGGCAGCGAGGCTGTCGACCCCGGCAGCGATGACGATGGCGGCGGCGAGACAGGCGACTCCGGTGAGAACGATGGTGACGGCAATGAAGGCGGCGACCCTGAGACGCTCGAGGAGTTGAAGTACGACCCCGCCGACAGCCACTACCCGTCAGGAACGGAAGGGAAGAAACTTCTTTGGGGAGCGTCCAGCGCCGGCCAGCTGCGCCATGTGCTCCAGCCGGCCGCACCCGGAAGCAGACCCGGGAGTTGCGGAGCTCCGAGGAAGAGCCGAGCGAGGCGCCAGCCCCCGAGGAGGCGCCGTTATCAACCGTCCTGGAGACTGATAACGGTCCGCAGATCGTTGCGGAATATATCCGCGAATCGCTGTCGGAGGAGCGCATGCAAGACGAGCAAGCGCATCTTGAGGAGCTGAAGAAGCAGTTACAGTACGATCTAGTGAAGGCGCTCCATCCTGATGCAGGGGAGCTGGAGTTGGCATTCAGTGCAAACGAAACGGACGACGGGTCTCCGCAACCACTCCTTGACCCAGAGGTAAGTATTCCCTCGCCGATCGGGCAGAAGCCTAACGATGTAGAGGCTGTCCCGCTCACATACAAAGATGCGATGGATTCCAAGTACAAGGTGCTTTGGGAAGCGGCGATGATGAAAGAAAAGGGTGGTCTAGACAAGGCGGGGACTTTCACGAAAATTGGAAAACTTCCCGAGGGGCGGAAGGCAGTGAGTTCGAAGTGGGTGTTTTCGTACAAGACGAACGAGAAGGGTATGATCACCGCCTTCCAAGCCCGTATGGTTGCGCGTGGTTTCTCACAGATTCCGGGGGTAGATTTCCACCACTCAGCTTCTGCATACCCGTCTACGACGTCCATCAAAACCGTGGTTGTCGTAGCCACCGAGAAGAAAAAGAAGATGTTCCACTGGGACATTAAACAAGCGTACATTCACGCTAAGCTCAAAGAAGAGGTTTTTGTCAGACTCCCCCAGGGTTGTGGTGACATGTCTGGCAAGGTGTACAAGGTTTAGCGTGCACTGTATGGCCTGAAACAAAGCGGTCGCGAATGTGGGTTTGAAGCTGCTGATTCCCTCATCGCGAATGGGTACGAGCAGTGCAGGGCTGACCCGTGTGTTTTCCGTAGGATGGTTGACGGAGAGGTCCTAGGTCTGATCGTGATCTACGTAGACGACATTTTGTTGGTGGCGTCCGAGCAAGAGCGTCAAGAGTTGCTTGCTTCCCTCCAGAAGAAGCTTCCGGTGAAGGATTTGGGAGAATGCACGTGGTATGTTGGGATTGGCATTGAGATGGACCTAGAGAACGGCATCACCAAGTTGGCCCAGACGGCATACATCGAGAGCATCATCAAACGGTTAAACGTGACTACTACCACCCCCACGCCTGCTGTCCCCGGCGCTGACCTAGGACCGAAACGAGATGACGAGCCCACGGTGGACAATCCAGTGAGGGAGGCATNACGAGCCCACGGTGGACAAGCCAGTGAGGGAGGCACTCGGGTGCCTGATGTGGGTGGTGCATACGAGGCCGGACATCGCTCTGCCGTTGAACAAGATCCAGAAGGTGGCTCACTCTCCCACCGACAGGATATGGCAGGCGCTTCTGAGGGTCATGTCTTACCTCAACGCCACGAAGGACCTGAGCCTCACCTATGCGCGGGGGTCAGGGCTACATCTAGGAGTGTGGGTCGATGCCAGCTACGCCGACGACGTTGTTGAGAGGCGTTCGACGACGGGACTAGCCGTAACCGTAGGTGGTAACACGGTGAACGGAACCACAAAGACGCAGCGTGTGCCGGCGCAGTCATCCTCGGAGGCAGAGTATCTAGCAGCCGGGGAGGGAGTGAAGGAGGCGTTGCATGTGCGTGCGGTTCTGTCTTTCGTAGCGCCTGAGACGAGTGGGGCGAAGATCAAGGTCCTTGTAGACAACAAGGGAGCTCTTGCCCTGGTGCAGAACCCCTTCAGCTCGGCGAGGAGCAAGCACATCGACGTGCGGTACCACTTTATCTGCGAGCTCTTCAAGTCGGGGAAGATCACCGCAGACTATGTCCCAACGGAAGAGCAGCACGCCGACATGCTGACCAAGGTCCTTGGTAGGACCAGACTGGAGTACCACCGGAAGGCCCTGATGAACCTCCCGAAGTAGTCCTGGTTACTTTGTTGTAGCACTGAGCATCTCGAATGTTCGGATTTCTGTGTTGCATTTAGCACTAGGCATCTATGGCCATGATTTGTCATGCAGGAATCATTGGTCGGCGCGTCACATGACCGGTCCAATTTGTCGTGCCATTTGGTCTTTGCCTTGGAAGTGCGGCCGGTGGAATCCTCCGTGATAGCAACGGTTTCTATATTTGGGTACGCGAGGGTTTTTGATCCGGATGGCCGGATTTTCCCCCGCCCCGTTGTTGATTTGAGTATTTCAGGTAGATCTGGGGTATCCATGCCCCACCGATGATTCGCCACTTGCGTGACGAACCAGGGAGGGTGTTCGTGGGTTTGGATACGGACTGGTAGATCTGCCGACAACAACGGGAACACGCAGATAGGGGCATAGGTATACCATGACGGTTACTATGCGGTGGAACCTATGCGGTGGAACCTCTCGAGCTCTCTCAAGCTTATCGGTACCTCACTCTTCCTCCGCTCCCCTTTCGCGTGCTTAATACAAAAGATAAAGCAAATCTCCCCCTTCCAAGTAAAGGACATACAAACGTACGAATACAACAGTCGGACTCTCTAGTAATGTTCGTGTATTCAGAGTTCTGATGTTTCGGTGCGAGTACTCCGTCGTATCATCCTTCCACGCCATGACGGCCTTTCGATGGATTGCGCGACGCTTAACCAAAAACAGCACTTGCTCAGCATTTGGTGAGGAATATTTTAAGGAATTGTGGATCAGGGCACACACTGCATCGTGGAGATCCTCCCGATCAATCATGATTTCGATGAAATCTTTCGGAAGACTGGTCGACGCTGCGAAGCTCCCACTCCCCCCGAATTTTTCCCTGAGTGCGTCTACGAATTCATACAGACAAACACCTTCCGTATATCTCCGCGGGTTGGCCCTGTGGCCGCCGACGACACACAACACGTCGTCAACAACGGTCGAAACGTCCTCCACACACTTCATGCCGTACGGCAGTTTCTGTCGCATGTCTCTTGGTGTTATCTCGGAATCTTCGAGTAGCAGCGTCAGGGTACCAGAGAGGCCGTGAATCGGTGTCCTCATCTCATGAGAGAAATGCAAAACCAGGGCGGCGTCCATTTGCGACGCTTTGAAGGTGCTGTATTCCACCTCCCCCGGACGCACCGCCGTGTCAGATTGGCTGTGGAGCTTCAATATATTTGAAAATGAGTCTAGAGTGGTCGAGACTAGCTTCATCCAAAATGACAAAAACGCGGCCAGGCGTTGATCCTGTGAGCTCCACTTGTTGAGGCTGTCTGCATCGGACTGCACGTATCGTTCGAACGACCCACGCGGTCCCGGGACACCGTCGGGTCTCATGATCTTCACACGGAACGGGTCCCCGCCGTATGAAAGCACATCACTCCTCCGTATGAACGCAACAACGATGTTAGGGTGGGAGATGCATAGAACCCCTCGCTGCGGCTCACTAAGTTTGCCCATGACACATTCCTGTCCGTCAGTATGCCTCAAAACACGTTTGAGCGAATCCTCGGTGATGGCGAGGCAATCTTCACCCCACGAGTGTACCTGGCTTGCGCTGAAGAGAGATGTGCAATCGGCTCCCATCGCTTGAGCAGTTCCACTGCGTATAATCGAAAAAAATCCAACACCCCTTCGCAAGAGAACCCCTGATCGATGACACCTGACAAGGAGTCCCGTCGTATCTCGTATGAGTCGCGGTGTATCCTGGCGGTGTTAACGGACACGGGGGCACTCAAGCTTTCGAAGAACCTCGTTTCCCAACCCCGAGGGTGCATAGCTACACCGTACGAGTGGGAACACATCAAACCCCACAGCTCGTTATCCACTATGATTGCAATCGACACGGACGAACGCACCCCCATGTTCTTCAGGCAGCTAGTGTGGACGGGGTGATTGGCCATAAGGATGCACTTTGAGAGATCTGGGGGTCCGTTTTGTGGAAGACCGATGACGTCCGCTGGAGCGTGCTCGTTATCGAATTTCACCCGTCGAGGGCGAATCAAAAACATCTGGCTAGCTGGCAATGGGATGTCGGATGCGGGGAAATAAGTGTCGATCCAGGGCTCGATGGTACCCACCATCGCGGGTCGAATTCTTTCGTACACAACGTTTCCCGACATATCGTGCTGGAATTGGTAAACCATGCACGTTTCGTGGTCGACGATTCAGTTACCATGGAACAAGCCGTTCCAAAGAGCGATTGGCAATCGGCGTGCTGGCCCAGCAGCCTACCATAGTTTAGTAATTCGTGTCTAGTATCGTGTTCATCGGGCAAAATCTCGAACAAGTGACCGTTCCTCGTGGTGAAGACGGTCATAAAGAATCTCTTTGCCGAAACGTCACATGTAACCCAACAGTGAGTGATCAGGTGCCCTTCCAGCAAAGCCGACATCTTGTCGGAAATGAGGTTCGAAAAGCATTCGGGAAAGGGTGTCTCGAAAAAAGCCGCGGCTGGGAGCATACCGCGAATGATGCTTCACATATATTGGTCGAAACGTTCCGGACACAGAATTCCTCATTGGAGTACAGAGCAGGGTACACCAAAACAAGGAACCCCTCGTTCTGGATCTTTCCCACGCTGGCCACATCGAGGAAATCGCACTCGGACATGCCTGAGCCCTATGCACTTCATTCAAATATATTTTGGGGTGTCGACTGAACGACCTCGACGCCCGGTGCCACCGCAAGCGATACGAGACCGCAAAAGCGAGGGGGCATCCAGTGGATGACACCCGAAAAAGTAATCGATTGAAAATTGCGCATCTGGAGACCGGGGTCTTCCATCACTCCTGTGACACATCATGCGAGTCTTGTGCACGTCGCTGATCTCTCTTGTTCTCGGAGTTGCCCCCTTCGGGGTGGAGTGTCGTCTCCATGACCCGTCGACGATCAACGTGGGTTTCGAGGACTTTTCTTCCGGCGGGGTCGAAGGAGAAGCGGTGATTGCTGCCCTCCGGACGGACCGAAAGTTCACCGTTAAGAGAGTCGAGAGCGCCCGCCTCACCTGAGATGGACTGGACGACGCCACGGAGGCCGATCAGCTCACATTCACGCTTGGTGTTTATGGTAATGAGACGGCTGATCGCCGAATGTTCCAGACCTGGGAGAGGGAGGCCTTTTCCAACCGTCTGATCCGCAACGTCTGGACCGGGAGGGTGCGAGACGAGACAGGGTACGATGGGTACCCGCGGACGATCAGCATCGCGTGGATCGGGTGCGACGTCAACAGTTTCCAGGTGAAGATGATCTCCCCGGCGAACAACGGGAGGGAGGACACCGTCCTTTCTCGCCCCTCGCGCGACGCTTCGGGTGAGCTCTTCATCGTGACCATGAATCACGGACCAGAGGACAAACGTGATGTTACTGTTGGTCGAAGACACCTGTCCCAGCAAGCGCGGGCTAGGATAGACGAGAGCAGGACGCAGGACCCTGGCGTCGACTACAAGACAGGGACGTCGCGCTCCTCCGAACGCATTTCAGCCGGCGCCTGACCGAGAACGAGGTGGAGATGCCTTCCGGTCGGGTCCTCTAGCTAAGCGACTCGCGCCGCGGTTCCGTCGTGGAAGTGTTGGTGCTCTACACGTCCAGAGCCGTGATAGACTCAACGAACTCCCTGCCCGGGGCAAAGCGCGCGAGTGCGTAGATGGAAACCGACATCGCCACGGCCTTCCAGCATGCTAACGACGGCTTGGCGGCCTCCGGGGTCCGATTCGAGCTGCGGGTGGTCCGCATGGAGCGTGACTGGTACGAGGAGAGTGACGGACCCAGCGCGTCTTACGACGCGTTGCTTGACCTGACGAGCAACAGCGAGAAATTCAGGATCGACGCGCACGCGCTGCGCGATCGGCACGGGGCCGATCTCGTGCAGCTTGTGGGCTTGTTCGACGACGTGTGCGGGATCGGGTTCACCATGTACGTCCCGACGACCGGATTTGATGACTTCGGCTTCTCCGTGGTGAATACGAACTGTTTGTCGAATTGGCCGCACGTTTACGAGATTGGGCACAATTTCGGGGCCGACCACGACAGGGCGAGCGCGCGTTCCGTGAGCGAGTACGGCTACGCTTTTCGCGAGTGTGACGGGCCCAGGCCGTTCCGCCCCATAATGGCATACGAGTTGGGGTGCCCCCGAGCGCCGCGCGTGAACGCGTTCTCCACCCCGTTCAGGGAGTTCGACGGCCGGCCCCAAGGCACCGAAGAAGGGAACAACGTCCGAACCCTGCGAAGCCATGGACACGGTCGTCAACTTTCGCCATCACGTCGTTCCCCAGCCGGTTGTTTCGACTGTTTCCATCTACCCCGCGGAGTTGACCGACAAGGGCATGGTCCGCAGGGGCTGTTTCCATGATTACCCGACCAATAGGGTAATGAAGGCGGGGACCCGGATGCCGGAGGTTGACGGGGTGACGGTGGGAATGACGCGCGAGAACTATCTGGCTTACTGTTTCAAGCACTCCCGCGTCTACACGCTTTTCGGTTTGGAGGCGGGGGAGGAGTGTTTCTGCGGCCACAATATGTGTAGTTTGGACCTTCACGGGATAGGTTCTTCGGCGTGTAACATTCCATGTGCCGGGAATGTGGTTGGTATCGAAACTTGTGGGGGGTTCAACGCGCTGGAAGTATTTGAGATCGTAGATGTTGCAAGAGATTCGCGACTGATTCGAGCGCCGTAGAAGCCTTGCTCGTGTTTGTCGGTAAACAATTCTCATTCAAACTTTTAGGGTGCCACCGCGATGGAAATCAATACCAGAACAATTTACAAAAACCCCGACAGTGCCATGACCGCAATAAACACGACGGTCCAACACCGCATCCGAAAGCACAGCTCGACGGTCCTTTGCCGGATGGTGCATGCGCGAATGGCATCGCCTACGGTGCGGGTAAGGACCCCCTGGTTGTTGCCGTATCGGTACATGGTTCTTTGATGTAAATGTGTTGTGTGCATGTGGTACTCGCGACCGCCTATTCTTGAAGGTTCACATTTAGACCCGTCTGTGGCAGCCAAGACCACTCAGTTCAGTACCTGCTAAAATGATCTGCAGTACTTGCGAAAATGAATTTTCTGACGAACAGCACCTAGGGGTCCCGCTGACTATCGTGTGCTCCGAATGCGCGACTTCGAGCGACCTCATAACCAAGACCGATGCTTTGTCGCTCGGGGCTAGCCAGTCTGATCTACGCGGGCTACGTAGGCTGTATGCGCCCAGCCCGCACTGCCGAAACGGAGCAGACGTGCAGCTGTTCGTTCGCGAGGAGGTTGATGTGTTCGTCGCGATCACAACCGACAAGAGGCGCCGAGCAAAAGAACAAGCCGAGCGCAAGAGGGTTGCCGCGGATCGACGGCAGCAGAGTGTAAAAAAGACGCGGCTAGAGAGCCTCGTGAAACGCCTGCAAAGTCTCGACGGTGTAGTGCCAAGACCCGGATTGGTCGCGGGGGATTGTTGTACCATAGAAAACAAGACCCCGAAGGTGGGGGTGAAAAGCGTCCTGATGAGGAGGGCGCTGTGGAACAGGCTGTCTGGGGTCGAAATTCCGCGGAAGGTCATGCTGTTCGAGAGATGCTCTCTTCCGATCCCGCAAGTCTGGAGGAGAGTGTTCAGCAAGAAAAGCACTTGTTCGATAGAGTTGCCACGGCCGAGGGACACGACATTCTGTCTCACTTAGATGAGGTTGATCGCCTTGTCTTGCTGCGCCTAAACCCCGTTTTCAGCGACCAAGTGTACGACCTTCCTGTTCGGCGGCTATCCGATGGTTGGGTTTCTCTGAGTGACAAGGTAGCCGGGATGCTAAGCTTGCCCTCCGGCAGGGTGGTCACGAAATTGCGTGAATCCAAAAATTGTTGGATAGGGAGGTACATGTTCGCAATACGCCCCGAACGCGTAGCGCATATCCTGGCACCGCACTTTCACGCTGCCCTGGAGCGGAGCAGGCTGCTAAAGCGTGACGTGCAAGAGTCTTTTGAGAGGTGGGGTCTGTCTGACCCGGACAGGAACAGCCGAGCCGATAGTATGTGCAACTATTTAAGGGGAGACGTGGTGAATGTCGAGTTGTACTCTGCAACTTGCGCTATTCTGAAGGCCGCGATTCCACACAGAGAGGCTGTCCCTGCGGTTACAAAAAAAGTGATGTCCACACCCGGCGCCACTTGGATTGCGGTAACAAAGGAGTACGTTCAGGATCAGCTGGTTTTTAGGTGGGAGACTCGGCTAATGATGAGGGAGGACAAGCACCCTGGTAGTCGTGGGAGATACAGGGACCATACCAATCCTCTGTCGTGTGACTGTGGGAACCCGGCCGCCAAGGAATGTGCCCTCGTTCAGTGTGGCTGTTGCTGCTTGGGGCCTTGCGCTAGGCACGGCCGCGATTGACTATAATAAAAACACTTCGCATTTATGACTTGCGCTCAAATCGTTTTTCGGTGTCCTGATTGTGGATGATGTCTCCCTGCCTCGTGAACCCAAACTCGTCGAATCGCCATCGTCGTTGCGAACTTTGGTGCACTCGATGACATGGAAGTTGCCCGGTTTGAGATCTCTTGGCGACGAGGCCAATTCTTCCGGGACAATGGAGTGAGACGACACGTCGTGCGCATCTGCTCCGAGAGATCCGATCGAACCAAGAACATCACCAAAAACACCAAACGGCCGGAAGGGTTGGAATCTTTCGAACGGAACCACGGAGCGCTCGTGTCTATCGATGGTTTCGATTCCAATAGATTGATCGTATTGTTTTGTTTTGCAATGATCCATCAGTGTTGATCGTGCGGTGTCGTACAAGCGGACGAATTCCCTTTTCTCCGAGTCCCTCCTATCCGATTCCCTGGCATCGTCCACTAATTTCCGGATTTTCCTCCTTATCTTCTCTGTGGAAGCGCCGGCGCTGACGCCAATGTCTTCGTATAAGGTCCGCGACATGTTCTCAACGGTGGCTTAGCAACATTATTTTTCTTGTTATTGTGGCATGGACTTAATTTTGTTTATCGCGTAACATACAGTACCGGCCTGTTCGTAAGAAACACGTTTTGAAGAAAATGAGGCTACGATTCTCCCAGAATTGAAGAAACGGCCGCAACGGAAACGAGCATATATACCCATAGCTGATTTCAATTCGGTTTTATGAGGTATATATGCAAGATATTAAACTAGTCCGACTCCATAGCGAGGTGTGACGCGTCAGGGGGGAACGGCTTCGTGACCAAACCAGTCAACAAGTCCAGCATCATGGAGGTTCTAGTTATGCACTGTTCCCCCGACGAGAAGGAGTACGTTCGGAGGCACATCACCAATTCGCGTGTTACATGTGTGTGTTTGTATTATTTTGAAGCGCATCCCGGCTTGCGAAGCCCCCAGGCCTTGTCTTGGCAATCTGCGCTACTGCACCAAATATAAACATTACATCTCAAGCACTTTTCATTTATCGCCTTCGAGCACCCGAGGCAGAACTTGTAGCGGTATTTTCGCTAAATGCCTCCACATAAATACCTACTTCTTTCCGGGAAGGCGAAAGGAGAGCAGCAGTACGTCCTCCATTTGAACATGTAAGTCAAGAGATCAATATCATTGAACTCACTATTATATATACCCGGAGGCCCGCTTGCTACCGCTGCGGAGATCCACACCATTGAGAAGGTACCACGTTCTCCCTTGCCCGCACCACAGTCGCGTGATGGAAGGAAACAGGTTGTACAACACTGTAAGGTGTTGACCGATCTTTCTACGAACGAACCTGGCCAAGTTTTCCTCGAACGCCTTCACATACTGCATAAAGTCGCCCTCCGTCAACTTTCGACCGAGCAGTACGTCATCGCATGTTGTGGTATTGTTTAGAGACACTCGGGTCCAGAACGCCAGAATCCCCCCATAAACTGGGCGAGTTTTACCCTCGAAGCAAGGGTTCCTGGGGTGGAAGCCATTTGCGCTGTCGTAGAAGACACACACACACACTCGCTAGACTATAATAGTACCATTGGCTTCGCCTATTTGCATGTGTACGTCCGTGATCTCTACATCCCGGGTATCTTCAAACAGCTGTTGGTACACCCCGAGCGCTTCGTGAAGGTTTTTTGCTTTCAAGTCAATGTTGGTCCCCCCCCCGTTTCCAGAAATGAACAAGGCACTCATGATTGTAGTTTGTACCCCGACAAAAAAGCTACCATGGTATGGTACAAAATATACGATTTGTTTCTGACTTGCAGACAGTCCTGTTTGGCCGTTTCAAGAAGCACAAGCAATCCCACCGCCGGATAATCGTTAACCTACAGTGCGAATTTCCCCGATGGGGCTTCGTAGCTGTTCGAGAGAATAGGGCTTTGTGATCACGCAAAGTACTCCGCATCAGTGCAGCCTTTGTTTTGTTTTGGCGAAGCCACGTGTGACTGTTGCAAGCAACCGCTTCACCGGGCTTCGTTGCTTGCGAATGAGACGCAGAAGATTGCAGAGACAAAGGCGTTGAAATCTGAGTTTTGTGAGGAGCGGAAGATGAAATATCTGTTGGCCAATCAGAGTGCAGCAGCATGGAGTCAGCGTGAAGTGTCTGAAACCTGACCAGAAGAGTAGACTTGGAAGCACTTGTTGGTCTGCCCCAAGGAAGCACGAGGGAGGCTGCTGCAGCCAAGAGGTATTTCGGAGGAGATCTATTTCTTCGGAGGAGATCTATTTGGCGCGGGCTTCTGGGGGCATTCACATATCGGTTGGAACGGGAGGTTTGGATCTTGGCGGCTCTCGGTTGCATCAAATTTGGGCCATGTCATCCGAGCACAAGTCGCCGGAGACGGAAGAGCGCCTTGGTGTCGTCCGCAGTGAAGGATCTACTGGCGGTCAGGTCGAGTCGGCATTGGGGACGGGAGGGGGTTCGTTTCCTCCGTCTCAGGTTGTGGCGGGCGCTATTGCGGCGGCCGCGAGGGCTGCTGCCGGTGGCGTGGATTCACCAGCAGGTGACGTGGCTTCAACAACGCAATCATCCGCAGATGTTGGTGTTGCTGAGAGCAGTGGGTTTCCGACTCAAAGTCATGCTCGGGCCTTGGCTTCCAGCGGGGACCGCCAGCCGGAGCTCGGGCGTGCGGATGACCAAGTCCAGGCCCACGTCATGTCTCGTTTGGCCCATATGTCGGTGGGTGCTGCGGCGGGGGGGGAGCCCAGCAAGGGCACCACGCTCGCGTCTGAGAATGCGGAAAACATCGCTCGTCTGGAACAGGGCCAGACGAACATTGTGGCCCAGCTTACCGAGATCGCTGGGTTGCTGAAGAACTTCCGGCCGGAGTCGGGGCAGGATGGGAGTCGTGGGCCCGGGGGCTCGGGAGGCCTCGGTCTGGTGCCGGCGTCGTCGCCGTGGGGCGGGGGCGCGGGCGGGGGGGCGAGTGTGCCCGCGAGGTCCAACGCCAAAGAGGAGGCGAGGAGGGAGGCCACCATTTGGCAGGCCAAATATAATCAGACACTCTGGGTACTTCGGGGGCAGCGGGGGCCGGAGCCCGGGCCACAGAA